GGCAATGGCAGCAAAGATTATTAGAAGAGGGTAAGGTTTGGAGTAGTATTAGAAGGCGTTATGGCCGGAGACCCAGCATCTGCCATGTCTCCCTCCAGGAATAATAATAGCAAAAGAGAACAGTGAGAAGTTAGAAATGGTGGATGTGTAAATACTAGGCAGAGGAATGGCGGCAGGGGGTATTTGGAGCTTGTGTCCTGGTGCCTTTCTAAGGAATCTGGATGTTACCCTGGGGCAACTAGAGTCTGGACAAAGTATTCAAAGTGTTCGATCAGGCAGCACTAGAAAGTAACACCACCAGAAAGACGGAGGAGAGGCTGCAGTGGAGAGAAATTAGAAGCTGGGAAAGGAGACAGCATTGTGGTGTTTTAAAAGGAAAAATTTAGGGCTTCCCTGGTGGTTAAGAATCTGCCTGCCAGTGCAGGGGACACGGATTCGAGCCTTTGTCCCACATGCCACAGAGCAACTAAGCCCATGTGCCACCACTACTGAACCTGTGCTCTAGAGACCACGGGCCACAACTACTGAGCTCACGGGCCACAACTACTGAAGCCCACGCACCTAGAGCCCGTGCTCCGCAACAACAGAAGCCACCGCAATGAGAAGTCCGCGCACCGCAACAGAGTAGCCCCCACTCGCCGCAACTCGAGAAAAGCTCGCGTGCAGCAGCGAAGACCCAACACAGCCAAAAATAAAATAAATAAAATAAATAAATAAATAAATAAAATTTTATAAAAAGGAAAAATTTAACTTTCAGTTTTTATTTCATAAAGAGACTGAATTTACAAAAGGAAACATCCCTTTTTCACGATAAACTACTGTTTTTAAAAGTTGAATTGTCACCAATAATGACAGCTAATATAGCAACAGCTCATGTGGAGGCCCTTTTCTAGTACTTCACATATAGTTCATTGAATCCTCAAGTGTTATCATGAGTTCAGTCAATAATTCAGTTACCTAACCAGGGAGGTTAGGTAACTTGTCCAGGTCGTCCAGTAACTGGTAAAAGGTAGAATATAAATCCACACACTGTGATTCCAGAGCCTGAACTCATAGTCACTATATCACTAAAGCATGTTTAGTAAATCCAGACGTTCACAAATTCCTACAGTGTTGTGGTTCAGAGCGTGCAGAGGCCCTGGAATCAGACCATGTAGATTCAAATCCTCATTCTACCACTTAATAGCTGTGAGAAGTTACTTCCCCACTCTGTACCTGTTTCCCTCTCTGTAAGTGGGGATAAAAACAGTACTTGTCTCCTAGGGCATTTCTGAGGACTAAGAGTAGATGCAGAAAAAGAGTTTAGAATAGTGCCTGGAACATATTATACATATGATAAAATTTACCTGTTATTATAAACATTATTATTCTATCCTAAAGTACTGAGAGTACTAATAAGAAATGATGGATATACTGCATGGACCCAAGTATGATCTGTGGTAGGTAGAATAACCTCCCCTAAAAATGTCCATGCACTAATCCCTGGAACCCATGAATATGTTACTTCACTACGGCAAAAGGGACTTGAAGGATGTGATTAAGTTTACAGACCTTGACGTGGAGAGATTATCCTGGATTATCTAGGTAGGCTCGACTTAATCAAAGTCTTAAAAAACTGAAATTAGAGAGATGAAACAACAGATGAAAAGGTAAGAGAAATCAGAAGGATGAGAGGATCTCAACCTACCATTGTTGGCTTTGAAGAGGGCCACAACCTAAGGAATGTGAGTGGCTTCTAGAAGCTGGGAACATCTCTCAGCCGACAGCTGGCAAGGAACCAGGGACTTCAATACTACCATAGCAAGGAACTGACTCTGGTCAACAATCTGAATAAACAAAAAAACCTGATCCTTCCCTAGATCCTCTAGAAAGGAACACAGACCCGGGGACACCTTGATTTTAGCCCAGGGAGACCCGAGCTGGACTTCCGACTACAGAAATGTAAGATAACGTACTGGTGTTGTTTTGAGCCACTAACTTTGTGGTAATTTGTTACAGCAGCTGTAGTAAACTAACATAAGATTTATGTTTACCTTTTTCCTAAAAGACTCAAATATATTGATTTAAGAACTCTGTAATATGCTAAAATAAATTTAAGTTTTTAAAGTCAGCAATTTTAAACTACATTGGGGCATAAATCAATGTTGCCTTTCCATTTCTATTATTAAATTCCTTAGAATCTAAAAGTTGCTGAAAGGCTAAAAGAAGGTATCATAAATAAGATGCTATTGAAATTTTTTCATCTTTTCTTTCTTTTTAAAGGTGAATAGTCTAATTTAATTTTTTCTTGAATTCTCATAATTATCAGATGAATTAAGTATACTTTGATTTTTTACTAATATACTTTAAGCCCATAGTCAAGTCCTAATAAGACTCTTCATTAAAATGTCA